AGGTGGACCTCAATATAGACCCCAAAATACTGTAATCCTTATTATTGGAACCACCAAAGGCCCCCAATTCTGGGAAACCCCCACATTCCCCTGCCAAGAGGAGCACCTGTGGCAGAATGCCTTCCTCCGCGGTCCCATCGGGCTCATGGGTCTGGGAGAGGAGTTGGGCCTGGCGGTTGCAGGCCCTAGGGGTTACATGGGTGGTTGTCAGAATTATGGTCCCTTTTTGGATCCCTATTATAATACGGCACCTAATATTTAGGGTGCCCAAAAAGGGACCATAATTTTGACAACCACCCACATAGGGGTTATATAGGGGCTCTATGGAGGCTTATATAGGGGTCAGAAAGGGTTTGGGGTTTCCCTAAACTAGGGATCCCTTTTCAGGCGTCCCAACAGTAAGGATTATGGCGCTTGGGGGTCTATATTGGAGTCCCTCATTTATGGAAACTAGCACTTCTTGCCAGCCAAAACAGCTGTTGCACGAACAACAAGAAAATGTCCTCGCTGGTCATCTTGGCAACCTCGTTCTCGTCGGGCCGGTCCACTGTTGTGAAGCAAATGTTGTACTCCTCCCATGCACGTTTGGGAAAAAACAAGTCTTGTCACTTGGGAATTTGCCCCCAATGTCCTCTTATAATCCCCCACATATCACATTTTGAGGAACTTTCACTTCACGGGTTCCGGGTGTATGCGGATAATCGAGAGTTTCTCAAACCAATACTCAAACAACATATGGTCCATAAACCCTAAACCCTAAACCTTCAACCCTAAAAACACAAAAACCCTAAAACCTAAAAATCCTACAAACCCTAAAAACCCTACAAACCCTAAAAACCCTAAAGACACTAAAAACCCTAAAAACCCTAAAACACCAACCTCCCTGGGCTACCCCGGTCCTGGATGATGGAAGGGTACAAGCTGTTGAAGTCAAGCAGCATGACGAGATCGTCGTATAAACCAGCCTATGCAGAGACAACGGAGCAACTCATGGGTCCCTTTAAAGGGGATATAGGGGCTACCATTCAACAGGGGTTTAGGGTTATACAGGGGATTTAGGGTTCAGGGCTAAGGGTTTACGGTTTTGCGTTTAAGGCTGAGGGTCTAGGGTATAGCGTCAGGGGCTTCAAGTCGGAGATTGGTGTTTTAGGGCAAAGGGTTAGGGTTCAGGGTATCCGTGGGTTAGCCGACTACCGTACCCCCCAAACTACCCCCAGCTTTCCCTTTACTCATCCTTTATGAGCACCACCAATCTTTAAACGAGCTCAACGAAAGGGGAACCCAGGAAGTTAGTATGGAGTGCCCGGGAGAGCCCAAAGCAATTCACAGGGTGGAGCATGCAAATAGCACTTTCGCGAAATGGCCGGACCCCAATATAGACCCCAAAAGACGGTAGTCCTTTGTGTAGGGACCTCCAAAGCGGTACCCCAAATTTTGGGAAACCAGTCTCCATTTCCGCGTCCTTTCCCCACAAATATCCGTGTTCAAGCTGGAGGTCCGACCAAATTGAAATAAGCTGGCCTATGCCCAGGCGTACACTGCAGGCAAAACAGATGCGACGATTTTTCAAGATGACTTTGGAGTCTGCAATTGGTTTTTGGAGCGGATCCACGACACAGAGCCTCACCGGCACCATGTTTTGGGCTCAAAACTGCTCATGCATCGAGACATCAATGCATTTGATACTTCACAGAGCATGCAGCCTGAATTCATCTGTACACGCGTCTCAGGCTAGTCTTCGACCTCAAGAAAAACACTTTGCGCAACTCACTACATCTTCTTGCGGGTTTCCAAAAACGGGAGTCTCTCACAAGCAGGATTATCGTAGTTGGGGGTACGTAAGAGAGACCTCCACTTTTGAAAACTTCCTGCCGAATACTGGAGACCTCCACGCTCAGCGCCTGGCCTTAAAAACATGCCAGGAATGGTGGCTGTACGTCTCCCCGGGTCGTAGGACGGGACTTTGAAAATGGCTATGATGTACCTGTGGGCCCGGCAATATCAGATATCACCCTGTCATCATGTGGCAAGCTGGTTGAACATTTTTTGCCACGATCCCAAGCTCAAAGTGATCAGAGCCTGAGATGTGGGAGGGAGCTGGGAGCATACAAGCTTGCCACCCTAATCCCTAAACTCTAATTCCCAAATCCGAAAACCCTCAACCCTCAACCCTAACCACCCC